GCTTGCCACGTGCCCCCTGCAGCTGCTGGGTTTCCTTTCTGTTTCAAAACTGGAGGGGAGGGCGAAGCTTCAGGAGCTGCCCTGCCCCCAGCACAATCCCATTGGCTGGTTTCTGGCTAAAAATTAGCCAATGGGAGCTGTTTGTTTGAATAACAGGCAGCCAAGAAGAACCACACTCCTCCTCCTCCGCTCAGTTATTCGCTGAAGCACATGGCCAGGCTGGCTGGCTGCGAAACGTTTCAAGCTCTGCAGGCAGGCAGCCTGCCTCTGGCACCCCAGTCCCTCCCTGCCCCAACTCTCTGCCTCCCCCCACTCAACATACCCAAACCCTCCGTCCCCCTGTGGCACTCATACCCCCTCCCAGATCTGCACCCCAATCTCCTGCCCCAGATCGCAATCCCCTCCTACCCTAGGTCACATCCCAAACCCCTGCACTCCAGTCCTCTGCCCTAGGTCACAACCGCCTCCGTCACCCAAACTCCCTCCCCCTAGTCCCCTGCCCTAGGTCACAACCGCTTCCTTATCCGAAGCTCCCTTCTGCACCCAACCTCCATCCCAGACCCCTCATCTCCTCCATTCATATCATTGAAGCATGCGGCCCTCGACCACTTTCCAAAACCTTGGAGTGGCCCCCAATCAAAGATTATTGCCCACCCCCGAGCTATGGTAACTTGTTCCTAGCAACTGTGCCCCAGGCATCAGTCCCTGCTGAGCCGTCCCGTGGACAATCTTTCAGCGGCTTGAGATGTGGCAGTTCGGGGGAGGCGTGGAATTTCACGGGGAGAGCCCAGGGCTAGAACAGGGCAGGCAGGAGCCCCCAGAAAACCGGAGTGGGGCTGGGGCAGGCAGCATGTGTAGAGTTCTGGAGGATGGAGAACCATGTTCTCCGTTGGAGTTTTCTGTGCAGGCAAGTGCCTGTTTTCATAGTCCTGGATTTGGTGTCGATTGCTACAGTGATTACCGTATTTTAGCAAATATAACCTGAGGGTTATATTCGTTTTTACAAACCCCGCAGCCCACCCCCCTGCAGGCTATACTCGTGCATAGGGTATAATATAGTTGGGTTTTTTACTCACCTGCACAGGAACCGGGGAGTGAGCACTTCCCTGCCCAGAGGCTGGTCCGGGGCGGTGAGTGCCCGCAGGAACCGGGGCTGTGAGTCTGTCTAATTCCTCCCCCCCCCCCATCGCCCTCCCCTCCACCGGCACCGTAAATTAGCAAATATACCCCTGGCACAGTTTGAAAGAAAAGTAAACTCCACAGGATATACTAGTGTGTGGGGTATACGAGACATTTTTTTACTCAAATAGCAAAAACCATGGGGTATATTCGGGTGCGGGATATATTCGGGTGCGGGGTATATTCGCTAAAATACGGTAAGCTGAATAGCCTCTCGTATTCCCTCCTCTATCACCCAACCAGCACAGAGTATGGCCTCTGCTAGAGTAAACCCTAACACACCACTTCACTGATAACCGCACATACCCCGCTGCTCTCTCAGGACACGTCTACACTAGGAAATAATTTTGAAATAACGAAATCGATCTAGTGTGTCCACACTATGGACAACACTCAAAATGAGTCCGAGACAGGCTCTGTTGATGTGACTGCTCTACTTCGGCTTAGCCCCCCAGGAAGCACTGGGAGTAATTAGTTCAAATTACTCTGGGGAGTCATTTAAAAATAGCGGCACTGGAGCGTCCACAAGGCTGCTTTTTTTTTAAATGAAATGAGCGTTATTCCCCAAGGAAAGCAGGCACGCAGCTTTTGAAATAACCTGCCCATTTTTTCAGAACAGGCTTGGTAGTGCAGCTGCTTTCTGCTTATTAACTCGACCTGAGCGGGGTTATTTTGAAATAACTCCCTAACTAGACCAGGTCTCAGGCTCGGTCGAGAGTACAAATGACGGTGGTATAAGTTAGGGGGCTCTGGTGTGCGAATAATCCACAGATTCTGGTTCTTACCTGCTGGGCTGTGGACATTCCAGAAGTCAAACAAAAGCACCACCTTGTCTGAGAAGAAGAAATGCATCTGGAAGAGACCAAAGGCAAAAGTTAGAAACTGGACTGGGGTGGAATATAGATACAGATGCCCCATCTCCTACCAGCCGATGCCAGATTTCCAGCTGTGGAGACAGACCCATGATCACTAATCACAGCCTCTCAGAGAGAGTGCCTGGGCGCATTTAAGGAATGTCGATTGTTCTTTATAAAAGTGGTTTATTGTTGATGAACAAGTGCCAGGCTGTCTCAGGGCCTGTTTGTGTAGCCACAGGGAATGGGGAGAGCATTCCCAGTACACAGACTAGGGGAAACCAGCTGTCTGAGCAAACCAGTGACAGGCACGGCAAGCTCTGGCAATATTTTGGGAGCTCAAGTTGAAATAGCTTTGGCATAGGTTGTGTTACAAATGCAACGTGTGTGTGGCGTGGGGTTGTGTATAACTCCTGGGGGGAGGGGAGACATGGCCAATGTAAACTCTGGGAAGTGTTTGGAGTGTCAAAGGGTGATTTTTCACAATGGGCCAGACCAGGCCGTGCCGTCGGCTGGGACGAGGCAGGCGTCCTGTTACCTGGAGGGAAGGGAATGTTGATTTCCCCCTCCAGCCCCAAGCTGTCCCATTGCGGTCTGCGAAGGACCCAGTCCCAGGCGCTGCAGCTCAGAGCTGAAGAAGGGACCTGCGGTGAGCTTGGGGGGGAAGAGGAGAGGAACTCCCTGCTGGTGTGTATACTCTCATTGTCACCAAGCTAGCCCGGGTATGTGCGGCCACAAAGGGCAGCGTGGGGCGTGGCGGTGCAGCTGAGCCGGGCCGAGAACACACCCACCGCTTTCGGGCAGCGCTCACGGGCGGAGCAAAAGCCGTGTCGAGCTTGTGAGTTCATCTGCCAGAGCCCGTGTGGGAGCTGGGGGCAGCTCTCTGATAAGCTTATCAGCGGCCATGTGCATCCTTTGGTTGTCTTGGTGTGTTCTCTGTGATGCTTTCCTGTGGGCTTGCTTGCAGCTTGCAGTTCTGGCAGTTGCACTGTTTAAAGACTCTGAGGAGAAAGCAAAGCCAGCCTGTCTAGGCAGCCGGTCTTGCTGGGAACTCGCAGCCAATGCAGGGAGCTGTGTAGGCTGGGCTGGAGGAGCAAGCCACAGGCTTCTGACAGAGAGGTGAGGGCTGGGACCCGGCAGCCTTGCAGGGGAGGAGGTGGGGTCTTTTTGGACCATGGAGGGGGGAAACAGATGCAGTTTCAAGGACTAATAGAAGGAGCCACTGTGAGGGCTCTATTTAGGCAGCTGAGGTATGTGTGCGCCCCCCTGTTACCATGGCATGTGAGCGCCTCACAATCTTTGTTCCTGGGAGGTGCCGGTATCCCTATTTTACAGATAGGAACAGAGACTAAGTGACATGCCCATGGCCCTGCAGGAAGTCTGTAGCAGAATGGGGAACTGAGTCTAGGTCTCCCAAGTCCTGACCACTGGGCCATCCTTCCCCTTGAGACAGGAAGGACGGCACAGCCTCCATAGGCCACCCAATCCTTGGAAGGGCAGTGGGGACACCCACGAGAGTGGGGCTTGTGATGCGGACGCCACCTGGGCTGAGACTAGCAACTCAAGTCCTAGGCCACCCATGTGTGTTTTAAAGAGCTGGCCGTGATTTGTACAATGGCCTTTCCGTCCGGCTCTGCGCAGGCTCTGCCCAGCGGCTCTCCGCTCCTCATGGGGGTAGGGAGGGTCCAGCACAGGCTGCTGCATCGCATGTTGCGTTTCAGTAACAGCTGCAGTCTGTGTTGGGACGTGCAATCCCTCATGGACCAGGTCTCTCTGGGCTGGTTTCTCCCAGCTGTTCGTGTCAGCTGCTGTTCAGAGTCTTCTCCTTCCCCCGGTTGTGCAGGCTTCGGCGGAAGGGCTGTGGAGCGTCTCCTCCTCCAGCACGGGCTCCGGCCCAAGCAGCACAATGGCAGCTTGCAGATTGCACAGGGCCAATGTCTAGGGGCCAGTTGTGCAAATTGAATGGCCCCATCTGTAGCTGTACAGGAAGGGGGGGAACTCCCTGCTGCAGGAGGGCACTCCCAGGATGCCACCCGCCGCCGCCCTTCCTTCGGCTCTAGCTGAAGCGCCATAGGGTCCTTCCTGGAAGATCTACTGAGTCCTAGAATCCCAGGGCTGGCAGAGGCCTCAGGCAGGAGTCATCGAGTCCAACCCCCTGCCCAAGGCGGCAGGACCAACCCAACTCAATCATCCCAGCCAGGGCTTTGTCAAGCCGGGACTTAAAAACCTCTAGGGATGGAGATTCCACCCCCTCCCTAGGGAACCCAGCCCGGTGCTTCACCCCCTCCTAGGGAAATACTTTTTCCTAATCTCTTACCTTGACCTCCCCCACTGCAACTTGAGCCCGTTGCTCCTTGTTCTGCCATCTGCACCCCTGAGCCCAGCCTCTCTCCATCCTCTTTGGAACCCCCCTCAGGGTGTGGAGTGTGTCTCCTGGGTGGCCTGCCCCTGCCCTCTCCCTGGCGTGTGCTGTTCAGGTCCCCAGAGGCGAGCCTGGAATTGGCTTCTGCTGCCTCCTGCCCACTTGCGAGGCAGATTTTCTGCCGCCTGGCGGGGGTTGGTCCAGACGTTTGATTTGAAATAACGTGCTGGGTGGCCTAGCCCTGGGGGCTGCAAACCTCCCTCGCTGCAGAATAAGCAGTTGGGCCCAGCGCTCCCCATGGGCACCCCCAGGGAGGCTGAACCCTGGTCTGGAGTGGCCCCCTCTGGGGCTGGTGGCTTCTTTCTGCGGCTACCAACGGCAGACTCGCGTATGAGGGTGGGTCGCAGGAGGTGGCTACTTGTGTGATCTACACCCCTCCATCTCCCACGATGCTAAGGATTGTGGCTTGGAGCCGGTGTCACCCGCACACCTCGGGTGGTTCGCTGGCCCAGGCAATGGCACTTAGACCGCTTGCAGCAAGAGGTAAGAACAAGGGAGCTCTACAGCCTAAGCTGAGTGCTAGCTGGCTTTATAGCACAGGCTGTAGCAGCTCCTACGCTAAGCCCCAGGTTCAAATCTGCCCAGTGCCAGTTACACCAGTGCATTGCATGTCTCTGTATCCTGTTTCCTGACCCCAATCTGGTCCCTCCTGCTCCGCCCAGCCCCTCATACTTCCCTTTCTCTGTCTCTTTAGCTCAGGGCAGGCACTTCTGCTTTGGTAAAGTCTCTTCCCCAGGATTATGCCAGGGAGACGGTTCCACTAGCAACAAGCAGCGACCTCCTCGGCACGCTGAGCCAACAGCTGAGTTCCAACCCCCTTGGAACTGCCTGCCCTTGCTGAACCCAGCTGAAGGGCTCTCCCCAGAGTTGCCTCGGGGCAGCTCCCCTGAGCGCTGGGTCTTCACGGCAAAGGACAAACGGTTTGCTCCGGTTCTGTTTGGTTCAGCTCCACCCGCTGAGAGGAGAAGCTGCCCGGCAGAAAGCCCCAGACCAGGCAGACCAGAATCAGGGGCTGCTGGTTTGGGAATGCTGAGCTCAGACACCTCCCCGAACCAGCCCCAAGTTGCTTGGCAGGTTAGACGTAGGGAGTGTGGCACACAATGCGACAGGAATAAAGCTGCACAGGATCCTGCCGGGGGGAGCCGTAGTGGGCTGCATTTTATCAGCAAATGGAAGCACGGAGAGGTTAGAGAACCTGGCTGTGTTTCCAAGGCGAGTTAAGAATGGGATCCAGGAGTCCTGACTCTTCCCTGGTTCTTACAAATCATTAGCCCCAGTTTACATGTGGGGAAACCGAGGCCCAGAGTAGTGGCCTGACTTGCCCATGTGACTAGCTCACTTTTGGGGTAGCACAGAGAGCGTGATCCCGAATGGAGCCCGGGCTCCTGACTGCAGCACCCTCAGCCACAGGCCCTCGGTTTGAGTAGCCATGCCAGGAGCCACCTGAGATTTGCCAGGGAGCGGCGGAGCTCATGGCAGCAAGGAGCAGGCCGTGTGGCTGGGGCGGCTGGAAAGCCCGGGGGAGTGCCAGCAATCGGCTCCGTGGGGCTCAGGCAGTTTCACTTCTCCTTGGCGCAGTGCCAGTGCCGTGAGCTGCCTTTGGGACAGTGGCGCGCTCCGCACCAGTTCCCTTTGCGCTGTAGCGCAGGGGATGTTTCCCACCGTGGTGCTTTCCTGTGGGGGCAGGACGTGGCGGCTAGAAAATCCACCAGGCCAGGGCCGTCTGTAGGAGTCGCGCGGCCCTACACAGCACTGTTACACGGGGGCCCTGACACCTGCCCGCTGGAGGGAGGATTTCTAGAGCGGTGATTTTATAATCTTCAGCAACGTGCTCCTGAACTGCTTGGAGACCACTTTTAAACCAAGGCCCTGCCGACTAACACTGCAAAGTCAGGCCGGGACAGCAGAGACCCGGGGTCGGCAGCCTTTCCCAAGTGGCCTGCCCAAGATTTGCCACTCTCCCGGGAGGGGGGTTGCCACTGCGCACCACGTCACTCACTGATTCTGGCTCCTCGCAGGAAACTCACTCCTGGACGGGAGGCAGGGAGAGGAGAATCAGCCCCAGAGAAGCGGCCAGAGCATGGGGGGAAGGAGGTTTGGGCAAGGCCTTGCTCTTGCCTTTCCCCTGGCAGGAATCAGCCACATGGGAGACCATGGGGAGGTGCGTTCGCACCCTTTGCACCCCCCGGCGTACGGGTCTGCACTTGGTCTCCTGCCCTGGGCTCCGCTCTGGCTTTTCCTATTGGGAGGGGAGGAGCAGTGCGTGCACGCTTCCCCGCAAGCCGGAAGCGGAGCCTTGGGGCTCTCCCCCCACCCCCCAACTGCCCCACAGGAACCCGGCGCTGGCTCCAATCTTGAGGGGGACACGATGCTAGCTCAGCAGCACCGGCTCCCTGTTGGGGGGGGAGGCGTTCTTTGCGTGTACCACACAAAATCCTCTCGTGTGCCGCTTACGGCCCGCATGCCAGATGTTGCCGTAGAGACCGTGGGTTGGCACGTGCCCGTCCAATGGCTTCATTGCCAGGTGAGCGGCCTTCCCAGGTTCCGTGACTGCTAACAGCTCTGCCAGGCTTTTC